AAAGGAATTGTACAATTGTCATGGTCACGCATTTAGAGATACAAAATATCTGAAAGAGTGAAAGAGAGAAAGAGAAAGAGAGAAAGAGAAAGAGAGAGAGAGAGAGAGAGAGAGAGAGAGAGAGAGAGCATGTGCACTGAGTGAATCCACACTGTGTTACCTATTCTTGAGGGAGGAACAAAAGGTGATTGCAACACTGCAAGACTCATTTAAGGCTCTCGTTGAGAATAGCCATTCTTTCACAGGCATCACCAATGGGCTTATCTTCAAGTCCCTGCATAGTCTCTCTTACAAAGCTTCGGGAACAGTAAAATAGAAAAGTTTGAGCTCAAGGAGAATGAAAAATGAAGCTCCAAATATGTGCCATTCAGTTGGAAAGAACAAATACTGTCACTTTTATTGTCATTTACAACTAGACTATGTCATTTCCTTCTTTGCATCCATGACAGCAATTCTCTTTATACATACGCGTTTTTCCAGAAGTATCAAATGGCCATGCCAATTAACTTGTATACTCGCATCTGATTTATCATGTGACCAAAGTCACAAATTTGGGAGACTTTGATGTTGGATTCAAGATCACTGTGGCTGTGATTCTGTGTACTTTTCTTCCTGTGAAGGTACCGAGGTCCTTAAATCCATGATGATAGCATCATGAATGTACTAACAGCTCTCCAATTTGGATAAATTGCACATTAGCAGAGATACTTAGAAGCAGAATTAACTTAGACTTATTGCAATAGCTTTGAGCCACAGAGAATTCTAGAACGATTAAGGATAATTTTTACAAGAAATGATTTATTAGATAACTCTGTAAGGACCAGGAGGGTCCATTTTGGTGCAGAAGATTGGGATGCCCATGTTTTGCAGAATAAAGAGGGCCGTAGGAAAAAACAGAGACAGCACGCAGAGAAGAACAAAAAAGGTATTAAAACACCTCAGGGGGCTGCAACCTGGAGGTAGAGCTTCAAGGAAAAGATTAGATTGGAATTGTCGGGGGTTAATTCCCCTCCTCCTCTCAGGAGCATGATTATAGAGGCTAATCCCACCAGTATTTCAGTTGTCCCATTTTTAAGCAGTTCTAATTAGGATGACTCAGGTACCTTCCTGTCCAATGATTACCTCTTGCCTTACCGGAACAGACCATTACCTTTCCCTTTATGACTTCTCACTGTAGAAAACACCATTTCCCCTTCTCTCCTCCCTCAGCTTCAACTCCTGGGTGCAGCTCAAAGATAACTGACCTTAATGTCTCGCCTTGAACTCAATGCGTTTCTGATCTCCCGCCATTAGCTCCACTTTATGTTCCCCATCTTTGTGTCTGTGTCGTTTTCACTGATCTCTTTGAGATTTCTCTCCACGAGTGATTCTGTGCCGCATACTTAACACGAAGCCCAGTCGTTAGGCCAATGCCGTTCCCTTATACCTTGCGTAGTGCTGCGAGTGTACATGTCTATGGCACACATCAGCCCACTGGAGGTTATTATCGTCCCCAGTTTTATTTCAGCTAACCCCTGGTCCCAAGCAAGACTAGTCTCCTGTGGGAAACAATGTGTTTTGCAGCTAAAGCAAAAAAGTCACCCGGATCATAAAATCCCGTTGCTTTATCTTGGAGAAGGTTTACAGAATGCTTCGAGTTCAAAGTTATTAGCCAGACAGCCGGTATTATCTCCTGTCGTGGCTATTTGCACAACACAGTACCTGTCCTGGGCATAAAAGAAGAGCCCATTTCCTGGCAATGTTCCTCCCGAGGACCATGAACAACTAAGCTTTACCGAGGTCTTAAAATGGGAGAAAGAAAACAAGTTTAACCTCTAGGCCTTATTCCAAAAAGGAGGGCAGAGCCGAGGCTAAGCGCTAATTATAAGCCATTTAGAAGTAACGACTCTCAGCGTAAGCCAGAGAATGGACACAATATTAAGGGAAGAGTCTACGGAGGAATTTGTGGCTCCCCTATGTCAGGTAACAAAAGACCAACTTAGATACGGTTTTACAAATCAATATTTTCAGAATAAAGTAGCGTAGATGATGCTAATCTTCACATTAAGGCAGTAATAATTTTCTTCCATTTGGTATTTTATATAAAAATAATGCTAGTCTGGCCCAGCTGGTGTTGCTCAATGGTTGAGCATTGACCTAGGAACCAAGAGGTCAAGGTTCAATTCCTGGTCAGGGCACATGCCCTGGTTGTGGGCTCGATCCCCAGTAGGGGGCATGCAGGAGGCAATTGATCAATGATTCTCTCACATCATTGATGTTTCTCTCTCTCCCCCCCTCTCCTTTCCTCTATCTCTAAAAAAATCAATAAAAACATTTAAGAAAATAAAAATGCTAAAATTACTCATAGACTTGACCAAATATCAATAAATGCATAAATATATGTTCATATCATTCATTACAAGGTATACTTTCTGTTATTGAAAAGATTTTTCTAAACTCCTTTTCAATTAGTTTAAATATGCTTTTTGAATGGTCTGCTCCCCTTTTTTTCTTCCTGTTTGGCTGTACTCTCCTTGAGTATCTTACCAACCTCTCTTTGCTATCAAACTCAGCTCAGAAATCACTTTCTTGTCTAAGCTCTCTATACCCCCATCCTTGAAGAATTAATCAGTCTTTTTCCTTTTCTATCCTTTTCTAGTTCTTTATATTGTACATTTCTAATATTGTAGTAATCACACTGTTGTATTTACGTACAAGTCAGTTTCCCCTACTAAACCACAGACCTTTATACAACCGTAAGTTTAATATATTTATGACTGTATATCTTACATCAGCATACAGCATCCTCCCTGGTATGGAGTAATGTATCCAAAAGATTGTTTATCCAAAAGCAAGAATATGTGAGTGAAATGGATGGAAGGCTGAATGGATGGGTGGGTAGATAGATGGATGAATATCCGTGACCCCTTTAAAATCTGAGATGGCCTGCAGGCCGGTGCTCTATCCACTGAGCAACACTGGCTAGGGTAGACATTACTTTCTAATAGTCTGTATGAATCATAAAGAATCATAAAACAAAAGCAAAACTAAACACCAGAGCAAAGCATGAGGAACGGTCCTATTAGCACACAATGTGTCATGTGGAGCTGTTTCCATTATAAATTAGCCTTTATTTTATTCTGAAGCTGCAGAGTCCTCGGTAAACCCTCGCTGCCTCTGGTTCCCAAGGACACGGGCGGGTCACGGCGGGTGCCATCCTTCCCCGGCTACCCCGGCCTGGCCTCTGACTAAGTGCCTGCAGCTGCACGCGACGAGGTCACCCGGCACGGGAACGCGCGCCGGGAACACATCCTTAGTGCCATATTTATTAGCGTGGGGATGTGTACATTCATATATGTACACACACTCCAAATAATTTTAAATTAAAGCATTTTTAAAATACTTAATGGAGGTTAAGCTGCATTTTTAACCTCTGCTCAAGTTATTGAATGGCATATTAAAACCAATGGGGCTCTAATGTACCTTCTAATGCGCGCTGCTGCTTTAACAAATTGCCTATAAATTTTAGTTGAATTAAGCCTCTTCCTTGTACATCCCCGTAAGGTTAGGTGAATAATACATGAGGCTTCATTACATACACCTTCTTTAATAATGTTTTTTAAGAAAGTGGGACAGGAATCTATGTGCAGCCGTCTACTGCAGGCCAGTAATATTTACAATTACAGATGAAAGAGGCAGGCAGGCATCCTCAGCCTGGCCATTTCACCCCCCTCCCCCATGCCCCACTGCTCACACACTGCAGCCTGGTGTCCCCCGGCCCCCCGTAGTATGTGGTGACAGGTCTCTCCGATGTGTTTAAAGACACAGAATGAAAGATTCCAGCCGTGCGTTTTAGTGTGCCTACTGCAGAGCTGGCTCCTTGAAGTGCCTGCTTATGATAAAGATACTTCAAGATAAGGGTGTTCTCTTTGTTCATGTAAATTTAACAGTAAGAGATAAATTCGACATACTTCCTGAAGCTATAAGTTGAATGCAGGACCAGAAACAAAACAAAACAAAAAACAAAAACAGAGAGATTGCCCAGCATACTCAGTGGTTAGAGTGTCGGTCCTTGCAATCGATCCAGGTGTCTTACATTGATGTTTCTCTTTCTCTGTCTCTCTCCTCTCTTCCCTCCCTCCTTTCCACTCTCTTCAGTTCAAGTTGAGAAATTAAGTACCAGTGAGTCTCAATTCTGAAATGGCATTCATCTAACGGGTCAGACAAACATGCCACATGATCTTGAGTAGATTGAGCACTTGTATCTGTGCCGCATAAAGATATAAACTCAACACTGACGCTGTGGATAAAATTTTTAGAGGCCTCAACGGAGTAAGAAAGAGGAATGGCCCGGTATGGAATAAAGAAGGAAAGGTCACGGCGCCCTGAGAAGGCAGCACAATTCCCTCCTACCTGGTTGACACTGGTCACACCTTCTTCCTTGGCGATTAGGCAAACACCGGCACTGGCCACTACTTGGGTCACACGTGGTCCCGGGTAACGTCCCCGCGGAGTCGCACTCGCACACCCGGCAGCCTTGGAAGTCGCCCGCGGTCAGATTGTACCTGTGAGGCTGGCACTGGCTGCAGCGGAGACCTGTTACTCCTGATTTGCACGGACACTGTCCTGTTGATTTGTCACACAGCACAGAGCCATTTACTGTCCCCGTCTTATCACAGTCACAGGGCAGGCAGAGGAAAGAGTTATTCTGCTGGAGGTAGAAGGATCCCTCCAAACATCCATCACACTGTCTCCCTCCAACGCGGGGCTTGCAGCGGCACTGCCCTGTCCCAGCGTCACAGACGGTCCCGGGCAGGGACCCCGAGGGGTCGCAGGCGCAGGCCTTGCAACCAGTGACGTCCAGCCCGTAGAAGTGCTCCCGGCAGGTGTCACACCGGAGTCCGCTGGCTTCTGCCTTGCACTCACACTGCCCCGACAGAGGGTCGCAGCGTTTGCTCGCTGAGCCGAAGGGGTTACACCGGCAGGGCTCACACCCGCCATCATGGAAACTCCGGAGGAATTTAAATCCAAAACTGCAACGATCGCATCGGAGCCCTAGAAGTGGAATTTGTTTTAAAATAAGAGGAAAATGTGCAAATGATGCTAGCATGCTTTCAAGGTAGCTGAAGCCCAAGCAACGGTAACGCTGACATTTCACGCACACACAAATGTTGGGCGATTTCTCATAAGTAATGCCATGGAGGACTCCAAATAGGATGGCAATACTTAATCTGGTGACGATACAACTTTGATTTTGTATGGTGCTTTGTTAACTTTTACTTGGATATTGCTTAATGCAAAAAGAAATGCTCAATGCAAATGTCACTCTATTACACATACCAGAACTCTTCTCTTGACTGAATATTAAAACTATTATTTTAAAACTAAAAGCTATGTTAAAACCATCATTTTTACTTATTTTATATTAACAAAGTGTGCTCATTTAAAATGTACAATAGAGGGGGAAACTCATTTTCAAAGTCATACAGAAGAACAGCATAGTTATTTTCCTAGAAATCAGAACCCCCTAAAAATGTTGAGCTGATAACTATTTTGGTGATAACAGGATATATATACTTACTCCTAAATATCACACATTTCAATAATTAATATAAATAAAACTTATCCAGAGCAATTTTTATTTCAATGCTTTTATATGCTCCTATATTTTATCACTTTCAATTAAAATAAATTATGCTCTCCTTGGCTCATAAAGCAATCACATTGCTTGTCATATTGTATGATTCAGAACATACCTCTTTAAACACTAAATAAATTCTGTTTAGATTACTCCTATTTAAAGAAGTACATATATACATTTCACAAACAGGGGAAAAACGTTTTAGCAACTACACTTAAATCTCTGACAACTTAGGTTACTTTTAAATAAAAGACTATTACACGGCAAAATAATAAAAACATTGTTAAATAGTAAACATTGAGACGCAAAATACTTTCTTTAGATAGCTTTCACCTATCCATGAATTTAAATAACAGACTCTGTGGGGCTGAATCAATTGAAACATTTATTTTAAGCTTTAGTAGCAATAAAAAAAATTAGTACTAAAATAACAGTCAAAAACACACTCCGGAACTCATATGTAGAAAAGCATTTCCTGAGCAGGAAGGAGATGCATAATATATATGTATATGTATGAATAAAAATTCAAGAACTCCAATGGAAGGCGAGTTCTTTAACAGTGATGAATGACTCACCTAAGGCATATCATTTAATTTCAATAAGGAAAATAAAAAAGGGCCACTATTGCTGCAAATTTTAAAAATAACTGTATTGTTAACAAGAATTATGACTCATTTTGAACTATTAAAATTGGTCTACATGGATTCATATCATATCAGTTTTAAAAATATGCGCAGTGCTTATTTGAATATGCCATACATATTCCTGACAGGTAATCTATTCCTAACGATACTTGGGAAGGCCTACAGGGCATCACATTCGGTGTTAACAAGTACAGGCGAGTTAGCACACTTGGCATTTAATTCACATTCTTCTCCCTTTTTATTCTAGATGAATGACCTACTTTAATAAAATTATTGGTGCTAATGTATTTTACTGGTGATAGAATCATTAGTGAGATTTAACAGTTTTGTTAACTCTAACAGTTTGCTTTCCGAAGCATATACAACACACACTTGTATTTTCTGGTTTTTTTTTTTGCATGTGTGGGGTTTTTTTTATTATTAACAAGGTAAAATTGAATAAGGTTACTTATTAATTCCCCTTAGGAAAAAATTATGCATATGGAGTTTATATTTTTATTAAACATACTAAATGTGCAGAAATAACTTTAGAAATAATATCAAAATGGTGATTTCATCTTCAAATACATATATTTATATATATATTTATTTATATATTTATATTTCCCTGCAGGAAACTATCTCGATCAACCAGTAAAATAGGTAAATGGTAGGAAGGTCATAACAAATTCTAAGTAAATAGTAAATTTTGATTTTTTTCTTCCTTAAGCTCTGGAACCTAACCACCACGAGAAAGACTCCATTGTATAGAGAAATAACTATTTCATTGTCTTTAAAGGCCTTTCTTGAAGTTTCGTTTTCACATTTTGAATTTAAAATATATCTCACGTTAAAGAACAGAGGATGCCGTAGAGATGAATTGAAAGGTCTTAGAATTCCTTCAGCATCCTAGGTAACGCTCACACAAAGTGTGCTTCCCTGTACAAGTCGTTTATCCAGCTTCTCTGGAGTTAGTTTCTGTATGTTTGAAGTGCATAAGGGCTAGTTACATTAACATTCTGATATAATATTTCTCTAAACCAGAGAAGCCTAGTGTCATACCATTAAACACGCCCACATTCTCTTTTATTAAATTAAAATGAAATGCTTATCTAGCTGAATTAATAAAATGATGTATGTATATCTATATAAAAATCCATTTTAGTGTTACATAACAAATGAAATTATTATTCAGAATGCTGTTTTCATATGTATGTGTGTACGTATGTATGCATATGCATATGCGTGTGTGTGTGTGTGTGTGTGTGAGAGAGAGAGAGAGACTGTTAGGCATGATTTTATTATTATTAGGTTCAGGTCAATGTTAGAGAAACGATGGAAGACTTGAATGACAATAGAAAGGCAAAGGTCTTTTTTAAACTTCCTATATGAACTGAGACATGTTCAGTTACAATATAAGACTCACTTCATCAGGAAACTTTCCGCACATAATATTCTCATATATCAAAATTTCAAAGTGCATTATGTACACAGCGTATTTTGGGCACTTGATAAATTTTGTCCTTATGTGGCTGTGGTTCCCCTCAAAAATGTTGGATGTAATAAATTGCTATAATCAAATCTAATTTCTGAAAAATACCTGTGGGAGTAACAAACAAAAAAGCACGTCTCGTATAAAAAAATGATAAATAACACTGACGGTGGCTGTTTATTATAATCAGCTTGGCACTGAATTACAAAATTAAAATTATGTGGCCCTTTATAACTAACCCTAGCAATATACATGATCTGTGGAGTTATGTTGACTTATTTTGCATTTCATAGGAACAGTTCAAAGAAATATAATAGGAAAATATGGAAAGATTTATCACAAAGGACCCTGTAGCACAGAATATTTTGAAAAAAATCCATTTATTTTGGTCTATTAAGAAAACTAGCAGGGAAATCATTTGCTTAGAACTCATTAAGTAGAAACCATTTTGAAAAAGTGCTAATTTTCTGAAAGAAACATCTATGCGGTAAGCAAATTATATTTTTCTATGACTTATTAGTATGGGACCATGTGAAGTACAGTGGCTACGGACTCCAGAAACTTCTAAAGGGTTGATTAAAGGAAGCTTCCAGCGGAAGTTTGATAGAATTATTAATTCAATCATTTTAGACAGTTAATTTCGTTCAGATTGTGTTTTTTTCCCCTCTTTTCCAGCCTGCCTTGAGCAAGGAGATTTGCTTTACTCTTCCGTTAAGAAATCAAATAGAGGATTTTATTCCAGATGGCAATGGAGATGTGACTGAAATGCCTGCGTTACACATACCAATAACGTTTGCTTTGCAGGTGCACTGGCCTGAATGTGGGTGACAGGTAACATCTCCATCCTCGGTCCCCGAGGTATTGCAGTTGCAAGGCCTACAGCCGTCAGGATCCAGCTCATGCAGGTTGAAGAACCCATCCTGGCACTGATTGCACCTCCTGCCAGAAGCGCGTCGCTTACAATCACACTGGCCTCCCATCTAGGGAAGATACAATATTTTGTAGAATGATGAACGTATCTATTTTTAGATTATTTGCTCATTAGGTACAAGGTGGGGAGGGAGAAAAAAAATTTAAATGTTAGACAAGAAGGTAAGAAGGTGTGTGTGTGTGTCCGCCCCCCCGCCCCCGCCCCCGACACAAAAACATAGGACGCCTCAGCAGGTTGAATATATGGAACCGGATGAAAATAAACCCTGTAGAAGTCAGTAGTAGGTGGCTAAAAGGGAACCATGGAATTAAGCACTGAGCACCCCATAAAGAAATCCAAATGTGGTCGGTCACGTGGAGACCAAAATAGAGAAGAGACAGCAGTTAATTTAGTCTTTACAACTCGACCTCTCTGTTCCGTGCCTCTCATTTGCTGTCTCGTTTATCTAAGCTTGCTTTACACACACAAGATGCTTAATTTAAGGGAAGATCTTGCTCTACTAATAGTATCCCTTCAAGGTTTCAACAACCTTAAAATAAAGGTCTTTGTTAATAGTGTCATTTTGTACGGAACATTTTTTTACACAATCCTACTTTTAGGGATGTTTCAGCATTTTTATGGTTCATTTGTTGTATGCCTTAATCATATTCAGTACATTTAGATTATTTACATTGTGGTCAAAAGATGTGAAAAAGTTAAATGCTTTAGAGTACTGCCAGGTAAAACTGTATTTGTTCTTCTTTGGGCTGCTCATTTGAGAATGAACATACATAAAAAAAGAGTGTGAAGTCCAGTTCGGAGGTGTTTTCTTATTTCATTATAGACTAGAACAGCCAACAGGGATTCATCAGACATTCATGCACAATTCCAACTTGAAAACAGGGACAAGAATGAAGGAAGAAGCCACATTACAATGTAAGCTCCACAGCAGCAGTTTTAATCATGTTACCATTTATGAAATGCCCGACTCCTCATTTTATTGAAGAACAAACCAAACCTTAGAAAGGTTACTTACTGGGGGCCAGACAGCTATAAGTGGCGTAACTTCCAAACCCATGTTCATAACCACCACACTACATTCACTCTGTTTGGTATAAGCTACTAATCGGACAGCAAGGGGACAAGAGCTTGTCCCCAGGAAGGTCGAGGCGGTGGTCTATCTCTGTGGGACGCTGGATGCAGATGGAAGAATCAGCCACGCAGGCGTTATTACTTAGTGACTTTCTGTGAATAGCACTGACGCTGGCTAGCGATGGCTATAGATTACCTTGTGATCACACTCAGGGCCTCGCCATTTCCGACCATCCTGAAAGAGTCTACCATCCCATGCATGCGGCCATGGTGGGTACGCACAGTCAACTGTGTGACGACTACGACTGAAACAATGAGGTTGGCGGGGACATCAGTGGCAAGAGGAAAGAGTCAGAGTCTGCAGTGATCATTCGAGTCAGCTTTCTTAAAGACCCTCCACATTAAGAGATGGAATTCTTTCAGGGTGAAATCAAGACATCAAATAATCCATACAGGATCATTGTCTGTGTGTGTATGTGTGAGAACACCGCTTCTGTGTTTAAAAAATATGAGGCATGATTTAAAGGTCAATAGTAAATAGGTGAGCACAGAGGTTCTCTATGTAACAGACACCAAACTGTAAGTAATTCAAAGCAACATTTGAAAAATAGCAGAACTACGTGCCTTCCTAAGCACTCACCTGGCAGGGGGTAGAAACCATCTGATGGTCCATAGATTACATCTTCCCCCAGAACTCACTAAGAGCCAATGAGGTGACAGTGATGATGCCAAACAAAGTCAGAACTTGAACTCAGAAGATTAAGAACAGGAAACCTACCCTGGAAACTGAATTTGATTTGAAGGGTTTTGTCTGAGCAGAAAAGAGATACAAACGAGGGCCAAAAATATCTTCTAATCGATGAGTAGATTCTTGAGAATATTCTTTTCTTTCACAGAGGTGACTCCAGATTTCTCTCCCATAGAAATGCTTAGACTCCTATTCTTCTCTGTTGAGAGTCATTCGCGGTGTCACTCCACAAATGCTACATCACGTCCAATGGCACGGCGCGCACCCTGAGTCGTAAGGTCACGCTACCTGCGCGATACCTCCCAGCTCCCACCACTCCTTCCACCTGCACTGCCATCCTTACCCAGCACTGAGCATCCGAGAAACAGAGAGCTTGTGAAGTGAGTCAATAGTGGAGAATTTCTCCTACTGAGCATCTGAAGGAAAATTCTAGAAATTAACTGTTTTTAAAAAGAGCATGTATAAAAAACTTACTCACTTGCAGCATCATTGGTGCTTCTAAGGAAAAGTATATACAGGCCTGTCTATCATCTGCCTGTCAATCCAACCACATCATCTACCTATCATCCATCTACAGTGTATCCTCCCTGCCAGAAGCCTGCTCAGCCCTAGGAGGCAGACCCTGAGAATTACTATGCATTTTTGGAATACGTACAATGACTTCTTCCCTTAAGCTTCTGCCTCTCCAGAGAAGAAAAGTCCACATTAATGTAACAGGCTACCTTTGCAAGGTGCTCATTCCGCTTGCAAAATAAATAAATGGATCTGCAGTGGTTTCTGCCACATATAAATGCCATGCATTGCAGAACGCCCGGTGAATGACGTACATCACCATACTTGTTTCCATTTAAGCGTTTTTGTGATACGGCTGTTTATCATCTTGCTCAGCTGTCGAAAACATTCATCGGAGAAGAAAGGCTGCTACTGGGTGGGAAACCAAGATGCCTTTTCTTTGCCGTTCTACAATGCCTGCCATTCGTCAGGCCGGTGTGATTTTACAGTCCCCCGCCCCTTTCAGAAGGCGTTTCCCAGAAATGGCTGGCGGAGCTTGCCCACCATCATCTCCAAGGGGTGTGCAAAGGGCAACATCCCGAGGCATGCTCAAACAAAACGACGGTAGGGACGGAACACATTTTTTCTCAGTCTTGTGAGTGGTCAAGACGGAAGGAGTATAAAGAGGTTCCCCACACGCGCCGTTCCCAGCAGTGGTTATAATAATTATAGTGCTACTTCTCAAAGGGGAATGATTTCATATTGCATCATCTCCCCTCCTTTTTTTTTTGGCTGGTTTAGGTCTATTTCGCTCAGAGATTATTATCTCTAACTTGTAAAAGATGCATGTAATAGATGTCACCATGTTAAATTAGAGCATTTCATAAATGTCAGCTGAATGGCACAGCCATACAGTGCACGGTCTTATTGTAATTTGCTGCAAAATTAATACAGTGCTTATTAACAAGATGATGGTGGGACTTTATCAAAATGAAGGATCTCACAACGGCGTTTTAAAAATATTTCTAACATTAATAAATGAATTTTCCATGTCTGTAGTTAATGTTGTATAGAAATATGCTTTTAGGAGAGTTAACTCTTTCAGTTTAACGATATTGATTTTGTTTTATTTGGGTAAAACTGTCAGGTTGCTGTGAACTTACACAGTAGAGTGGCTGCTCACTACAGAGTTAGTCTACTGGACCAGTGAAAATATAAATTCCAAACCTTGAGAGAGGAAGATGTCCATCTGAGATGATAAGGAAAATAAATGAATTAGGCTTTTAAAACATACCTTGACACACTGGTTAGCTTGTGTGTGAGATAATGAGCTGAAAGCCTGGCATGTATTAAGTGCCCAGGGAGCCACAGGAATGCCTCGACATCACCCTACTCTTCATTTGACAGTTATATCGCTTTCGAGAAATGATGTGGACACCCGATGATATGCACACTGTTATTTCCTAAGTATTTATAATCAGACCTGGCATAATGCTCCCAAATCAAATGGGCATGTGCCTTCCTACCTCTGAGCAGTGGGCATAAACAGCCAGTTTAGCAACGGGCTGTGGAGCTGCCTTTACGGAAGACCCAGGGTCCCGAACCTTAAGTTGCCCTCGGGCTTTGAATTTCTGCTCCACCCCATTAAGGTGGGGTGACCTAGGGGGAGCCACCTCATCAACGTTGGATAACTGTTCAGTGTGAACCTTCCTATCAAGCTCAGACCCATTCACCTTCTTTTCCAATTTATACCCCAGCACCTTCGTTCTTATCCTTTGTAGCTGGGCCTCTCTATCAGCTTACCAGCTGCAAGAGAAATGTCACTACTCATCTCTCCTTAAGTCTCTGAATGAGACCACATGACTTATGCCCAAATCTTCAAGTCTTTCTTTTTTATTTTAAATATGTTTTTATTGATTTCAGAAAGGAAGGGAGAGGGAGATAGAAACATCAATGATGAGAGAGAACCATTGATCAGCTGCCTCCTGCACACCTCCCACTGGGGATGGAGCCCGCAACCCAGGCATGAATCAAACCCAGGACCCAAACCCAGGACCCCCGTTGACAGGCTGACACTATCCACTGAGCCAAACCAGCCAGGCCTTTAAGGCTTTCTTTAAGCTATAAACTCCCCACCTTTCAGATCCTTCACCACCCTAATGCTCACAGGCAATATCCATATATCACATGATTGAGGAGCAAGCTCCTCATAGGCTATAGAAACTTGTGCGTTACATCTATTTGTACACGATAGTATTTGGGTAACACAAAAGGTAAGGCAATATATTTCCTGGAAAACTCACACGGTGACTTTTGGACACGTTGTAGTAATTAATGACAAAGACTTAGTTTTGAGCAGATGAAAAAGCATTGATGAACTGCCGGAGATAGGACATTATGCAGAGAAAGTGTATTCTGCCTCGTTTTCTAACTTGTTTTCTGGAAAATTATCACTGTGGCAGAACAATCAATTTCCATGAGTCGGGTCCTTATTCCTTATTATTCCATCTTCCATGGGTCAGACCAGGAAACATTTCCTTCGTTGATGCCTTTCCATTTCACCTAATTCATTTCCAGTGCGGGCCTCCTGCCTTATTAATCTATTTTTTAATGTCTCCTAATCCTTTCTCTCGGTTCCGGCTCTGTTGCAGCAGTCTATTGATGTCTTATTGAGTACTGCAATCAACCATCCTTCTTTCTTTCATATAATTACAACTATATATATATTTCCTGTTTTCAGCCAACTTTCAGATCCCCTCATTGTTTTTTCTTTCCATTTTTTTAAGAAAGTGGCTTAGATTAGATCCTCTAATTTAGTGAACAATTCCGCTATGATTTAACAGAGGCTCGATGGTGTGGAAAACTTAGAAAAGGTTTGATTTTAAGTTGGGATTCAGAGGACAGAACAGAGTGAGCCCACTTGGACCAGGTGTACACATGTGTGCATAAGGGACTGGCTCTCAACTACACCCCCCCCCCACACACACACACACGCAACCCAGCTTCTTTTACCTGCACATCTTTGATACACAGTGTTCCAGGAACTTCCATGTTAAAGAGTGGTCCATAGACCAGCAGCAAGGCATCACCTGAAAGCTCTTACAAATGGAGGAACTCAGTCCCTACTCAGACTTGCACAATCAGCATCTGCCTTTTAAAAGACATCTGACAGAGGATGACGTTACTTATTCTCTTGGTACCTCTATTTCTCCATCCACAAAATGGGGATAATTATGATACCTTCCTAGTAGGACTGTTTGGGGAACTCCATGGAATACTACATGGTAAGCCTTTGAGCTGTCTATAAGTATTATTGTTCAAAATGATATTTTTTATACACTTGCCTATATTCTTAATAAAGTATGTAGTGTGTAAGTCCTAACTCCCATGTTTGATGCCACAATCTCAGTAAAGAACCTCACCAATCTCTCAAAAGAAGAAAGATATCTGAGATATTCACATGCACACTCAGAGTTGGAGAAGCACCACCTTCTGGCTGACCGCCTATGTCTTGAACTGCTGAGGCTTAACCCTCATTGTTTCCTTGACTAGATGTAGGAATACAGCAAAGTAAGAGAGAAAGGTGGGGGAGGGGAGGGCGTGGAGAAAATCCCAAACAGGAAAGCACCCAAACAGCATTTCTTGAATGCCTTCCACAGAGTCAGGCCTCATGCAGTCTCCTTGCCTCACCAGCATCACCTGGCAGGTGGCCACAGCAGGTCCACCATGGGGAACCAGCTACCATATGAAGGGCAGGGTCAGTGAAGGGCCAGGCTGGAGCCAGACAGGGTACTCCCACCTTGGGTCAGAGCGACTGGGATCTTCATCTATGGACTAGAGGAGTTCAAAGACCCTTCTCAGTATTCCCTGGAACACTTTCCTAAGACGCCACCCAGGCCTGGGCTCTGTCTGGTTCTTGTAGATGTAAGTCACACCCGACTAGGAAAAGACTCAGGAAAGAGGTCAAATAACTCCCACACTGAGTTCAAAGGAAACGAGAACAGAGTGCAGTGACATCCTGACAAACTCACATTATTAGGAATCTGTACTAACAGCCAAGGCTGTTCTTACGACAAATGGACTTATTTTCCCAGGGTTGTGAATTTTAGTATTTTTTGGCTCATGTATACCTTTTGGGTCTGATGAAGGTACTAAAAGCCTTCCCCTCTAAGACACATAAATAAGCAAACAAACAAACAAATGGAAACACTCCTACATAACATACAGATTAACAAAGAACATATATGCTTAGCCCATGGACACAGACAATAGTGTGGTGAAGGCCTGGGGGTGGGGGGGGAGGTTGAGGAGGGAGGGGTCATAGTGGGCGGGATGAGGGACATCTGTAATAGTGTCAACAGTAAAAAGCATTAAAGGTGTACATGGGTGTCCTAAAACTCATCCATGGCAGCCCTAGGGATGAAGGACTCCTCAATAAAAATAATGACTCTTCTCCCTTTTCTACTCTCCTATTAATATAATATGATTACTGTGCTATGTGTCTTGACTTTGGTATTGGTATTTTTAGGTGGTGGTGACTCAGAGCATTACTTCATGCCCGTCTCAAGATCTTGGCATCCACAGGAGGAAAAATTACAGCACCTCTAATGGAAGAATAAGGCAGACACGCCGGATCTTATGAGATTGGATTGAGTGTCAAATGGCAACTGCCAAAGGGAAGCTCCCTTCCAGAACCCAGAGCGCACGACACGGTCGCCCGGGCCATTTGGGGCTGGCTGGATTCCTGAGTTATTACAGCAAAATGAGACTTGAACAACTGCCTAATATTCCAGTATGCTCCCTAATATTATTAAGGATTGCGACTGAATGAATTTAGAAAATGTCCTTGAGTTCAATTTTACAGTTTAGAATTCTGACACCATTGGCAAAATTTTTTAGTATGGATTCTGTTGTCCCACTGAAAACAACAATAAATGTTTTTGGAAAATATTATTTAGGCAAGGTGGGCTTGGCATGATATTTTCACCTGTCATAATAACTTTTTTGTATCATACAGACTTTGTGTCCATACTTGGAGAATGAGAGAATAACCATTAAGGTAAAATGTGAATGGACTTAGAGATGAACAACGTGGAGGCATTAAATTCATGAACAGCTCTGCCATTGTATCTGCATTTGGAATCCTGTATGTAGCTCTCTCTGGCTACATATCGGATTTCATGAAAATTCTATTTATTTCTGCTATAAAAATGATCAAAAAAGCAATCAGAAATAGAAAAAGGTAAAAAAAAAAGCTTCTAAAAGAAAAAAATGTTAACACTTCCAAGTATGTCTTTTGTTTTATGCATTTTTAAACTAGGTTTTTGCACATGGAAAATATGGACATACAAAGGCATGTAATAAAAAAAGCTCTCTCTCCTCTCTCCCTACTTCACTCCTGGGACCAAAGGACACGTTAAAATGTTATTATTTCCTTTCTCCTTACTAAACTAGGTTTTTGCACATGGAAAATATGGACATACAGAGGCATGTAATAAAAAAACTCTCCTCTCTCCCTACCCCACTCCTGGGACCAAAGGACATGTTAAAATGTTATTATTTCCTTTCTCCTTATTGTTGAATAATATTCCATTGAGTGAATATGCTACATTTTATTTATCCACTCATCAATTGACACTGGGTTATTCAACATTTTGACTATTATAAATAAAGGAGTTATGAATGTTCACAAGTAAGATTGTGTGACAATTTATGTTTTCATTTTATTTGCATATATACCCAGAAGCGATAGTGCTGGGTCATATGGTAACTCTGTATTTAATATGTTGAGGAATACCAGACTGTTTTCTGTCTGTAAAAGTGGATATGCGTGTTACGTGCCCCCAGCAGTCTATGGGAACACCAATGACCTCCACAGACTCATTAATGCGTGTCATTATCTATCCTTTTAACAACAGCCATGCCAGTGAGTGTGAAGTGGTATCTCATTGTGGTTTTAATTTGCATTTCTCTGAAGACTAATAATGCTGGATATCTTTTCATGTGCTTATTGCCGTTTGTGTATCTTCCTTGGAGAATTATCTATTTAGATCCTTTAGCCATTTTTAATTGCATTGCCTTTTTATTATTGAGTTGTAAAGGTTCTTTATATATGCTGGAGACAAGTCTCACTGGATATATGCTTTGCAAATATTTTCTCCCATTCTTTAGGTTGAGGTAGGATATATTGACCCAGGTGAGTTAAAATCTGTGCTCATGTAGGTCAGAAAATAATTTTTGTGATATTGTAATAAAAGTGCATAAAATTGTAAAAATGCACTGTGCTGTTAAGATAGAGAGAAGCTTGGAATATAAAATTCACAAGCACAACTATCATAATGACCATTTGGACCTGGGTGTACATGACCTTTGTTAGACTGTCTTCTTTGGAATTGGGGAGGAAACTTGTTTTTGTTTAGTTAACATCATTTATTAACATTAACTGTCCAATAATTCCCAGACATACACTCAATTTACTTTCCAGTTTACTTTGAACCCCCTAGTTTCCAATTTGTTTTGACATTTGTAAAAGTAAAAATAAAATGAGCCTTTCTTCTCTGCAAAGGACCTCCAGGCACTCTGACAGTTCATGTCCATATTAACAGTTGCACAGCAGCGCTCCTAAAGCGGCCATTTCATTTAGATACAAACACACACAGGACATCCTGAGAAATACAGTCCTCGATTCTATGAGAAGATGATGTCCCATATTAGCTTTTTATTGATTGATTTTTAGAGGGAGAGGAAGGGAGAGAGGAACATTGACTTGCTGTTCCACTTACTGATGCACTCACTGGTTGATTCTTGTATGTGCCCGGACCAGGGACTGAACCTATAGCATTGGCATATCCGGACAATGCTCTATTCATTGAGCTACCCCAGCCAGGGCCAAATTAGCTTTTGAAAGGGAGCAATCCTTTATGTCCATACTGAGAACTCACCTGATCACACAGGAGGCTACCGTTTTGCGTACCGGCTGCATCACACTCACAGGGCTGGCACACATCCGTGGCTGAAGGATCTGCCCCAACTGGTCGGAAAAAGTGCTCCTTGCACAGCTCACAGTTCCGTCCTGCGGCAGGGAGAGGTGATGCGTTATGACTTCCAGTTCATTAAAATCAGCTGCATAATTCAGAATTAAAGACTGTATTCCTTGGAGGGAATTCTATAATTTTCGGGACGTCCATTTTAATGCACCTTTCATCTCTACCTGCCAATTTAGTGATCCGGAGCATATGAAACAATGAACCTGCTACAAACTGTGCTTTACTTCATTAAACTCCCATCTGCTATAAAATGCCACACCTCTAAAAAGCTGGCCTTTGGAAGGGCCCAGGCGTTTTGAAAGAGTTTCTTTCTAAACTTCAAACTTTTCTTTATTTCCAGGGCTAGGCATTTGACCTCAATCAAATATGAGAAATTTCTGTCTGTGTGGGAGAGGATAGCTGTCCAGTTAGAAGCAACTATGTACGGAGTATTAGAAATATTTTCCAGAACTAAATCTTGTCAAATAGGAGACTGCTCTTACTAACTATCATTCATTATTCTATAGTTAACATAATTAAAAACAAATGCTTCTGTTAGAGGTTATGGCCATTATTTTCTATTGCAAATATCAATAGAAATCTATAAATATAAAAGGCTTATATGCAAAGTGTTCCCTTAGGAGTTCAACCGGGAGTTCGATTGCTCACTATAACATGTGCTGACCACCAGGGGGCGGCGAGGAATGAAGGAAGGCCCTGGCCAGCCCCAATCGCAGGCCAAGCCTAGGGATCCTACCCGTGCAAGATTTTTGTGCACAGGGCCTCTCGTTTATTATATTTAGACATAGCAAACAAATTTCATTTTAAATATCAGAATAGTCTGACATTTTAGAAATATCAGGTAATTCCTATAGCTTACAATTTACTAATCAGAAGTTTCCCCTTATAAAAGAAAAACAAATCTAATCTACAGGTCAACTCTAAAGTAAATGTAAGTACAATATAGAACCACCAAAATAGAACTCAAGGCAATCAACTTCCCCTTTAAACATGTATTCTCCTTAAATATTGTCCAAATTGGCCCAATATTAGAAAACTAAGGAAATAATCAAGTGAAAATCCACATTCTGATGGACATTGGCTCTGGACTAATTAAACATTAAATGGTTTCATAGTATTTCTAGATTATTTCCATTTACATATGCTGATGACTCTCAAATTTCTATTTCCAATCCAGAAATATCTCCTGTATTTGCCATTTAATGAATATTCATTGGGTGATTCCCATGTGCCAAACTCTGTGCTGAGTGCTGAGGAAGGAGTAGTCATGAGCAAAACACACATCACACCGTTCTCACAGAGCTTTCCTGTAGCCATGAGGGTAAGAGGAGTCTTAACTGAATAATGACAGGAATGGACATACACTAACAAACAGCCCTACACATAAGGTGCCACTGAAGTGTGCTGATGATAGGGATCTTTTCTGAGGCACCACAGAGGGCAGTCCTTAGGGAAGCAGCTTCAGAACTGAGCCCCACTGCCCTCGACAGAATTCCTCTCGGAAACACGCAGTGAGCATGTCCAAATGAGACCTGCCACCCTCTCCCCAAGCCTGATCCACCTGTGTTTCCTGTCTCAATGGCTGACATCAATGTTGACCCTGTTGCTCAGACTGGAATGTGAGACAAGAGTCTTGACGCTCCATCCTTCCCTAGGCTTTGCTTGGAAAGTGCTGCCACTTTCCTTCCTGAATTGTCTCCATCCACACCACCTCCATCCACTCCAGCGTGCTCCTCACCGGGACAAACTGCAGCACCCGCTACCTGGTCTTCCCAAACCACACCTGATCCTGCCCAATCCACTCTCCACATTATGACCGCATAGGTCTTTTAAAAACACAAAACTTAGCATGTTCTTTTCCTGTGTAAACCCCTTAAGGACACCTCATTGACCTTAGGATAGAAACCAAAATCTGTCATGATGTGGAGAGCCCTCTGAAATCTGGCCCCTGACTCCCTTCCTAGAGCCTCTTCTTATAATCATCCATTTCCCATCTATCAGGTCTTCAAGGGTCTCCATGCTCCTCTCCTCTAGGACATTACATGACTGTTTTTCTATTAGAAACTTTGTTCGATCTCAACCCCCCTTCCTCTCACTCCTTCACCTGCACAACTCCTACTGAACTTGCCCTACTTTGGCACTCATTAGACCAGCAGTCGCCAAACGGTGGTCTGCAGACCACTGGTGGTCCATGAGGTCCGAAAGGTTGGCGACTACTGCATTAGACCACTTTGTAACTGTTCCTTCAATGGAGAGCCTTTCCAACTATGTACTAATACACACAAAGACAGGGCATTCTTTATCTTGTTAATCTTTATATTCCCAGCACCTAGCCAAGTTCTTGTGTGACATTTTAGGCCATCCATAATTATCTAATAAATTCATTACGACTTCAGAATAGCACTCTTTCAAGCCCATAAGACCAGTTACATTTTACAAAGTCAGAGATTACCTACTTCTGCTTTTAATATACTAGCTCTTCAAAATGCTGAATGGTTTTAGAGCAAGACTTCGATAATCACCTCTGCATTTAATTAGCATTTACAGAGCATTCCCAGATTCCCAGAGTCCATGCCAAATCTAAATTCATGTAAACATCTCCACCTGAGAATTCATACATAGTTGGAGATCAGGGTCACACAAGAAAACTTATTTAAAGAAGATAAGTACATATTCAAACTAATCAGTCCTGAGTTATCCAAAATATATTCATACTTTAATCAAATGTGGTGGTGGGGTTGGGGGGGGGCTTTTCCTGAATAGATATAGTCAAAGATTAGATTACTATTTCTGAAAACTACTTCATGAGTTGCCATTATGAAGATTTGGTAAACCAGCTTTGGTTTTCAAATGTTAACAGCAGGAGAGCACTTTCTTAAACAAGAAAGCAATCACGTAATTTAAAGTAACATGGGCCTCACAGGCCAACTCGGCCTTAGTTGGGATGGTCATTTGCTAGTTACCTGTGGTGTTGTGCTCACAATCATCACAGACTCCTCCGCCCCCTCTGTGGTGCTCGGACGGAAAGGGGTCCTCTGAGATGTCGTAGTGGCAGCTTTGGGAATGGCCGTGGCACTGACAGGGCTTACAACTGAAGGCGTGGACTTGGTCTCCTGGGCGGAAAGGCTTGTCGTTGTAAAGAGGCAGGCAGCGATTGCACTAGGACCGTAAAGTCACATCAGAACAGTAAGTACATATACAACTGAGATTGTTTTATTTTTTATTTACCTATCAGGCACTTTTACTAGACGGAATAAGCTAATATCAAAGAGTTAAATGCCAGCAACTGTTACATTTTTAAAAAATGCTTTATAAATCAGAGATGAGCGTATGACAGGCATGGCAGTGTGAAGGCGGCCGTGCGGACTGAAATCATGCAAAGCGATCTTCATAACCAATGTGAAATGTTGTGACTGTTCCGTGGCCGTTACATTTTTTGGGTCAGAACATTAAAAGCTTGACTTGCAGTGTCTGTTCCCACAGGTGAAGAGCCTAGAAGCCGCCAGTCCATCCTAGCAAGTGAAACGCTAAACAGACAAAATGTCAACAACTGTTCTTGGATCCCTAAGGGGAGGGCACGGAACAAACAGCTCCTCTGAGACTGGAGAGGCAGACGGGCGAAGACAGACAGTCCCGCCAGTAGAAGCCACATTACCAAGGGCTGCTTACAACGGTTCCTCACCCACACATCATGTCCAGCTATCCATAAAAAAATTTTAAAAATCACAAGGCATAACAAAAGCAAAATTACTACAATAGGAAGAAACAGAGCCACCATCAAAATCCGGTATTGGGGGGATGAGGGGGATGTTGAAATTGTCAGACCAGGAATTTAAAATAACTATGATTAATATGCGAAGGGATCTAATGGATGGAGCAGATAGCATGCAAGAACAGATGGACAATGGAAGTAGAGGTTTTAATTGTCCACAAAAGGAAGGCTAGCCTTTTTTAAAAATTTATTTCAGAGAGGAAGGGAGAGGGAGAGAGAGATGGAAACATCAGTGATGAGAGAAAATCACTGGCTGGCTGCCTCCTGCACGCCCCCTAGTGGGGGTTGAGCCCAAAGCCTGGGCATGTGTCCTGACCTGGAACTTAACCATCATCTCTAGGTTCATACACCTCCATGCTCAACCGTGGAGCCACACCGGCCGGGCCAGGCTAGCCTTTTTGAGTAACAACTGCTTGGTAGTGCCCAAACCACCCCATTAAGTCAGTGGCAAATTCCTCTTTGATTCTAGACACTGAAGAAGTCGGGATTTTGTCTTTGCAACATTGCTATAGTACTTAGTGCAGTCTGATTTACCATGACTTTCTGACAATGGCTTTTAGGTTCACAATCAGGATAAAATCTTAAATGAGACTTTACTTTTTAGATCACAAGCATAAAGCAAAAATAATAGTGTCTTCATACAAACAGCACAGGGAAGCTTTTGCTGGATTTGCTCCACTAGCTCGGGTAGGCAGCGTCCCAGGCTCAGACAGCCAGCAGTTGCTCTGGAGAAGACAAACTGCATCTGTAATCAGGGTGACAGGACCGCAGCTTCCATGTCACCACTTCCACCCACTTTTATTCGAGAAAGTGCAACCTGAATAATAAAAACACCATCATAGGGTGAGCAAGGTCATGGGAAGAATACTTTGAAATGAAGGGGAAAAACGGGCCTTGGGCATCGTCTTGAAGCAAAATTTTGCATTTGGCCCAAGTTTGTGATGGGATGAATAGAGTTTTTAAAAATCAGGAGTGAGATTAATTGCGTGGCTAATTGACCTGGGAAAGAGAATTTAATGAGCTCATTTCTCTCCTCCAAAGCCAGGAAGTCAGAAAGTGAGTTTGCATCTCTTCTTCCATTTGTCCAATTGGAACAGGTCTCCCCACACTTGGGACTTCCGAGCGATAATCAGACCCTAATGATATCTGATGGCTCCTGGGAAGGAAGTATGTGATAAGGCCGCCTCTGCTGTTGTCGCTACAGATGACGAAAATTAACCAGAAATGAACGTGGATCATAAATTGCTCCTTGCTCCACTTTATGGGCTATATCCTCTAAATCAAATCATGGACCTGTACAGTTACATCACAGAATCTGCTATGAATAGTTATAAATAATCTATTGCATGGGGGCAGTTTTGTAAATTGCTGGTATCACTGGAACTGGAGACCAACACCTCTATTGGATTTTGACCCCTTTCTTCCTCCTCCTTTTCCCTCCCCGGTCTTGTAACTTCCGGATTTTGAATGCAGAATATGCTCCAGATTTTATGTTGGTCACTATTGAAATATTATAGATTGTTCTAAGGTTATTTTGAGTAAAAAAATCATTAAGATACTGAATTAAGTGTTTTTATTTTAGAGGTGAAGAAACTGAGTTTCACAGAAGTGGACTTAAGGACTTGCTGGTTAATGATGTTGACCATATTAATTACCCTCTTTATTCCCCAGTTGCTAATCTAATAATCAAGTAGTAGACAATGTTTACTGAGGGCTTACCATGTGACACTCTGCCAAATGCATGGTCTTTACAACAACCCTGTGAGTCAGGTATTATTACCCCCATGTTATAAATGAGAAAAGTAAGACTTAATAGGACAGAATTTATTATATAAGAATATAGGGATAGCATATGAAGGAAGATAAATTAGGATTGGGATACTATGACCCAAAGCCTAAGGGATTCAATAAAATAATCCATTTAAAATGCTCACTACAATGCCCAGCACATAGAAAATATACATTTCATGTTACTTTCCACAGATAGTGGCAGCACCAGTAATTGAACTAAGATGTCTGACTTTAAGCCCATGCCTAATCTCTAACTTTTGATTATATAAAATAAATTTGATTTACAAATGATGACTGGTGAGAGAAAGCTTAAAGAGGTCAATTCCTTCACTTAAAAATCTTTCTGGTCTAAGACCCAGAGTTGATAATATTCTAATGATTGCTCCATCTTCCTTTTAGAAATTGAGTTTCATTTTACATTTGAAAGTGCTTTATGCAAATCATAGAATAACAGCCAATTATGAAATCTTTACATAAACATTAATGTTTATTAATTATTCCCTTTGTACCCCCTCTTTACATTTCCTCAAGAATGATTTTTTTTGAATATTAATGACATCATGTGAATTTTCAGTTAACAGTATAGCAATTGTCTATTAAGCTCCTACCGTGTGGATGACACAGAAAGCATACAAGTCAATAACTTGCATTTTATGGAAGATACATGTAAGTAAATTAATTATTTCAGTACAAAGTGATAGGATCAAGGTCTAGGTATTAATAGAGTGTTATGTGCAAGTGGAGAAGAGGGGTACCTATCCCAGCCAAAGAGTCGATTAGCTGTGTGTTCCCAAAAGATCTATTTCTACTAAGTTTATCTAGTTTGTTGACATATAAGATTTTTTTATAACAGTGAGGAAAAGAATACAAGTTAAATGCCCCACAGGGAATGGTTTGAAAATGCCATATCTTTAAATGAATATCATACAATCATATCTATATATGTAAAAGCCTAAGCAACCAAACGACCAGTCAACCAGTCGCTATGACACACACTGACCACCAGGGGGCAGATGCTCAACACAGGAGCTACTCCCTGGTGGTCAGTGTGCTCCCACAGGGGGAGCACCACTCAGTGAGCTTCCTGAGCAGAGGCGGCAGCAGGCACAGTGGGGCCGGGATGAATGGGAGCGGTGCCTGGCCTGGGCTCGGGCTCTTCCCCCAGCCATCTGCCACTTTGCACACTACTACATCCCTCAGGGGATGTTGGACTGCCGGTTTCAGCCCAACATCCACCGAGGGGTCCCGGATTGTGAGAGGGCACAGGCCAGACCGAGGGACCCCACCAGTGCACAAATCTGTGCACCAGACCTCTAGTATAAATATAAATGTAGAAAGATAGCCATAATGTAGTTTGAATTAAAAAACCATGTTATATTGATATGTAGAGTATAATCCTATTTTCCAGATAAAGGCAGATTCATCTATGGATATGGATACAGAGCTACAACTTTAAGAAGATAGAGAAAGATGATACAGGTTTATTTAGAATAACAATAATAAAAGATCTAAAGGATATAAACTAAAGAGTATTTGCTGAGATTATCTATGGGTGGTGGAGTTACAGATGACTTTTACTTTTTATAACTTTATTTTTTCTGCAGTACGCATTTATTACTAATGTATTAAAAATTGAGGGCAAATGCAATGCAATTGCATGGGCAGTTATAAGAAATCTATACATCATTTTCATCATGTGCATGTAGCATTTCCCTAAGAAAACTAAGAAAATTAAAACGTTTGTTTTAAATTATATACATATGTAGTAAGATATTATAGAGAAAATGGCTCTCTTTGGGGGCAAAATGTAGGAAGAGAGCTTATGAATTACCATTAAACAGAATATGATTTTTAAAAGATAAAACATTTTCTTATGTTTACATATACAAGCAAGGATTCTGAGGAATGACAGACTACATTTGTTATAAAATTTGACTTAAAACATATAGAACTAAATGACACAGTGCTTTTGATCTAAAGGATGATACCAGGTTATTATCATTTTGTGTAGTTTACAAAGACTATAAAAGAGAAGGAATACTCAGTAATCTATTCTTTGATTATAAAATTAATAAAACTTAGCATAATACTCTTTAGGTTCATCCATGCTGTCACAAATAAAATCAACCAATCCGAGAAAGACAAGTATCATATGATCTCACTTATATGTGAATCTAATGAACAAAATAAACTAACAAACAAAATAAAAACAGAATCATAGACACAGAGCACAGACTGACAGTTGTCAGAGGGGAGGGGTTGGGGAGCTGGGTGAAAAAGGTGAAGGAATTAAGCCAAAAAAATGTTTATAGACACAGACAACAGTATGATGATTATAAGAGGGGAGAGGGTAGGGACAGGTAGAGCGGTTAAAGCAGGGATAAATGGTGACATAAGGAGATTTAACTTGGGGTGGTGAGCACACAATACAATATACAGATGAGGTGTTATAGAATTGTACACCTGAAACCTATATAATCTTATTAATCAATGTCACACCAATAACTTCAATAATTTTTTTAAATCTCATCCATCTGACTATATTAGAAAGGTAATTTATGATTGTTCCTCCAAAAAATAATGAAATATGTTTTCA